CCATCCATCTATCCCTCCCTCCTTTTATCCATCCATCCATCCATCCATCTATTGCTCTATCCCTCCCTTTAACCATCCCTCCCTCCCTCCCTCCATCCCTCCATACCTCCTCCCAGCCCGTTGGTCATGCTGATGGACTCAGAGAGGGAAATCTTCTCCAGACGGCTCACAGCTCGTTCCAGACGCTGCACTAAGGCCTCCATGCTGACGAACCCTGGACCGGAAAAAGGAGTTAAGTGAGTTTCCGCCATCGTTTGGTGCCTTTAGATGATTCGCTGCCAAAGACGTCTATAGACGTTTTTTATGTTTTTCAACGAGAGTGGCTGGGGGACGTTCTGCTAAAGCTTGTCCGTAAATATCAGGCTTCTAGACAGAGTATGTAGTAACAAATTGACCCTCTAGGGGGCAGTGCCACTTTTGATGGGAGATGAGCATAGACTGTAGGCAAATAAGAAAAAGTTAACGGTTCGCCATGCGAGAACATGTCGCCGGTGAGACGCAAGTCCAGGAAGAACGGAATAAAGTAGGAACACATTTTTTTTTCCTGGTGAAAGAATAGAGTCTACTCTTTCTTTTGGTGTGTTCGGTGTTTACATAGTAATAGCACAAACTATTCTGTGGCTCTTGAAAAATCAGTCAAAATGCTAAAAAAAACTCTGGCAGTATGGGACTCTGTTCTGAAAATGGCTGCCAGTCAGTGAGTTAAATGATTTTAACCCAACTGGCCGACAGGTCACAGACTCATTTAAGCCCAGAATCCAACTATCAAGGCTGTTTTCCAGAGTTTTATTCAGAGTTTAAACATGTTTTAGGTCCAGTGGGACAGACTCCTCCTCCAGTCTGCCCTGATCCATCCATCCATTATCCTAACCTCTCATCCCCTAATGGGGTATCGGGGGGCGGAGTCTATCCCAGTAGCCAATGGGGAGAGGAGGGGTCATCCAGTCCATCACAGAGACACACAAGGACCCACAACCACACACACTCACACTAAGGGCAGTTTGGAGTCCAGCCAACCTAACATGCAGGTTTTTGGACGGTGGGAGGAAGCCGGAGAACCCGGAGAGAACCCACAGACACAGGAGAACATGCAGAACCACCCAGAAAGGTCCTGGTTCCCCCGGGGACTCAACCCAGAACCCTCTGGTCCTGGTTCCCCCGGGACTCCAACCCAGAACCCTCTGGTCCTGGTTCCCCCGGGGACTCAAACCCAGAACCCTCTGGTTCCCCTGGGGACTGGAACCCAGAACCATCCTCCTCCAGTCTGCCCTGATGCTCGTAGGAACTAAACTGAGCATGAACGTGGTAACTGTTCGAGCTGTTTAGCTACAGCTAATCACATAATCGGGTTAAAGGAGGGTGGAGACCCACACCAGAAAGGGAAGACTGTCCAGAAAAACCCAAAGCGAGAGCAGCAACAGGGAAGATGCTCAGATCTGGTCTGGATCCTCTCCGTCTTTATTTAGCTCAGCGGCCGCTAACAGGGAGCCAATAAACCGCTTTCCAGAGAGGCCAACACTGACCAGAGACATGCCTCAGGGTCAGGATGTCCAGCAGCTAGCCAGCTAGCCATTTAGCTAGCCAGCTAGCTGTCTGTCTCCATGTCTGTCTGATATATTATAAGTTATAGTACATAACCAAATATATAGTGTAGTACAAGTTTAGCCTATCTATCTATCTATCTATCTATCTATCTATCTATCTATCTATCTA